GGGGGGTGGGGGGGGGGGACTGACTAGTCATGTGGCATATAATGTATTTAGTGATATTTTGACACTGCTGACACCTAGTGGCAGTCAGGTAATCTTGAAATTGTTAAAAGCTGTTATTCTCAAATGGTCCCAAAATAAATCTGAGGGGTCAATAGCAGACGTTTTTATAGAGGCAACCTTTGAATGAAACACGCTGCCTGATTCACAGGCACTTCAGCTTAGCCTTCATTTGGAGCAGGAGGTTTGGGAATCAGTACATTATTACAAAATAATGTATTCTATGTATGTACCGGCAGTATCATATTCAATGTAGTCAAAGCCAACAAAACACCTCTTAATGTTTCTTGTTTTTTCTCAATCAAGTACAAATCTTTAAATGATTTAAATAAACCAGAGAAAGGAGCACTCTTTAGTTAACCTGGCCATAACCAACACACACATGAGACCAATGACTGTGGGTCACAAGTAGACATTGCTTCACTCTGAGGGGCCTCAAGCCCAAAAGGCTGGGAACCACTGTCATACAGTATGTAATAATAATATGTGATTCATGGATTAATATGTTTGCATCAATCCATTGCTTATACTTGCTCTTGAAAGTGTACAAAGCGGTGGCTCTCTCACTTGTAAGCAGTGACATCATCACCCATAAGCAGCTAAATGGGACCAGTACTGACTGTTACAAGTTGAGTAATTACTTCATTGTCACATGTTGTTGTAGTGAACATGGCTTTGTAGGGACTTAGATGCGCTGACAACATGGTGGCACACACTCAAGGGTTCTTCAGCCCTTGTAAGGCTAACTCTACACTAACCGATTGCACGTGTTAATTACACAAAATTATTTGAGTCTTTGGCTATTTAGTTTATTTTTATTTTTTTAAACACTGTGTATGTTACCTCAAGCAGTTCATTGAAACAGAGGCCACAGACATTTTCAGACAGATATGAGGCAACACCTGCACGCCACATGACCCGCAGCGTTTTGTGTGCATTCAGAATTCTTGTCTTACGGGTTTGTTTACATTTACAGTTGCAGTAAAGAAATAATTCTTACTGTGCTTAAATCCAACCAAGGACAACAATAGAAACGTCGCTCTTTTGAGAAGTACCTGAACTCACCACAAGTAGTATAGTATAAGTTGGAATTGTTTGGACTGAGTTTGTATGGCTACGCACATACACACACACACACACACACACACACACACACACACACACAGTGCTGCACAATCCCATCTTTGTCATGTGTTGGGAAGAAACTGCCGGACTCATCGGCCCAGAAAGCTGCCTGTCCCACAGTGCAGTGTTCCTTGACCGACAACACCGGGGACAATGGCTGGCTCGACTCCAAGATGCCTTTCCTAGCTTGTGCTGGCTGTTTGGAGTCTTGCTCATGGTCACGACTTTTCCTAGATTCACCGATGCATTGTCAGCATAAATTGTATCTGCTCTATTCCATAATACGAATCATGCTTTGAGCTTCTGTTGCCAGATCATCCTGGAGTGAATACATACCCCAAACATATTCAGTGTTAACGTAGACACACCCTGAATCCATCTCTGTTGGGAATATACACTACAGGATGGTTTGATTCAGGAAACAATGCAGATCTTTCAGAAGCTCTGAGTCTAACAAAGGAAACTTTGTTTCAGAATGCTTCGCAAGGGAAAGTCGCAGGCCCCTAAACTGATTTGGCCACACAAGTCGAGGAGGCTTGTTTTGATAACCAAATGAGATCCAGTCGGGTTATCACTGCAATTTGGATGTCAACTTAGAAAACAAAATGCCTGAAAGAAGGGGCGTCCAATTTAAGAATGTACATAATGTCATGCATCAAATTCTAGCTTTGTTACAATACCAAGCATGAGGTAGGCCTACTATCTAGCCTTTACATTTTATTTGAATGTAGGAACTTTAAATTTGTACGGGCCATTTAAATTACTGCCCACTTCATTTATCTACAGGCCCAGTTAGTTATTAAGGTTTTTGGAGAATGATGCATGTTGAAAGGAATACTATTTTCAAAACTGTAATTCCCCTTCAACATTTGTTTAATACATTAAACCTTTTGTTTTCATGTAGCAGCCTGACACACGATACATGCAGGTGAGGTATGCAATGGGGGAATGTAGTACATTTACTTTACCATATTAAATTCACATTGAACTAGAAAAAGAAAATGATATTACATTGTTTATGATTGAAACAGAATCTATTTTATATAGGTAATGTAACACTTTGAATAATGCACACTTTTACTTATCATACTTTAAAGTGGCAAACATGAAGATTTGTATTTAAATGAATGTTAAGGATTGCCACTACTGTTGATACTTTAGCACTTTAACTTAATAATACTTTGAATACAGGACACCCATTCTAATAGTGTGTTATAACTATCTTCCTCTACTGGAGATTGCCTGAATGCAAAGATGTGGGAAAATATGTGAGGCTTTACAGAGTACCGACTTTTATCATCAGTATAACTGTTGCAAGTCTCTGTTTGCACAGACTGTATATGAGACAGAGTCTCATAACTTAGTCACAAGGGATACTGGTATATTAAAATCTGTCCTTCATTACATCATGGTGTCCCCTGTGAGTTAAAATAAGATTATCATAAAGTAATAGATGCTCATTTAGACTCGTAACTTTACATTACTTATTAAAAGGCATACCTGTTAATTAAAACTGAGGTCAACTATAAGACAACAAACCGGTCCTCATCGGATAGAAATGCCTAATATGAGTGCCATACATTCATATGTCAGTGGAAGAATTTCAGTGGACGGCGGGTGGGCCGATCGGCCAGGTGGCAGCAGTCATTGGTCAAACGATGCGCGCGGCCGCAGGAAAGAGCGGCGCCGCGTTTGCTGATTGGCTGGAAGACCCGCTCGTCAAACCGCCCTGTATCCTCCCAGCAGCTGCACGGTGAGAGCCATCAGGCGCTGCTCCTGTCACGGTCATCCTTTCTGTGTACCCCTTCAAACAATGTTATCTATATTCTGCGCGGCTCTAAACCGTTCATCGACTGCTAAACCCACGGCTTTGGATTGAGTCTACCGTCTACAGGTAGGTCCGTTTCATTCGTGCGCTTCATTTTAATCCAAGCATTTTTTTCCCCCGGTAAAATGCTAAAGTGGCATAGCGTGAAATACGTTCAGTTTGCATTGGATGTGCAGCGGCATCTTCTTAATACAACACTATAGGGCACACAGCGCAGGGTTTAGATGCACACGGGGAACAGAAGCGAGGCTCGGGGGGAGGGGGGGGAGGAAAGGGTGAATGATGCACATTTTCTTCCGGACACCGGATCTCACGCTCACACAGACATCAGGTGCATATATTCGCTTGAGGGAATTGACTGCAACAGGCCCATACAGGCCGGGGTTTTATACATACAATTTGATGCATCCTTCCTTCTTATTGTCGAGCTTTTTTTTTCTTTAGCCATAAATATTTTAAAGGCATGCAACCCTTGCTGGGAACGGAGGGTGTGGACGGCGGCTGGGGTTATGTAATCTCTTCCCATTCATCACTGCACGCCTTTCCTCCTGAACCTCGGCCTGTGTTCATCCCACACAGCCTGATAGCTGAGAGGCCGCTGTCTCTGCTCGCTGCCTTCCCAACTACTGCTAATGAACCCGCAAAGACCTGGAGTGGACACATCACATCAATGGTAGTGGAACTGATGGTAACCCGGGTCCCACTATCTGTAGGGTAGTTGGTTCAGGCTTTGGAAGCAAAAGTCAGGCATTTTGTCAACTGTCTTCTACCAGTTAAGTTATGATCCCCACCTTTAACGTCTCTGGGTCATAAACAGACACCAGTCAGATTATTGTATTCATTAATCTTTCCTTTTATTAGCATCGCTGTCCACTCTCTCTTACATGAAAACCTATTTTTAAATCTGACCTACACCTCTTGAACACAGACGCTCCAGGAAATATTGACTCTGTCGTGTTCTACGCCTTACAGGAAGTAATTTTACCGTTTGCAATCACCGAAAAAAGGAGGCCTCATTGGCAGATTTTATGACCGTGAGGGCAGCTGAGGTCGGAGCTTTATTGTACCTGAGCTCCTGTGGTGTGCAACAGTCCTTCAAAGCGGTGCATCATGTTGTAGAGCAGATTAAAGCCTCGGGGACACATTCAGAGACACAAATCAGATGGTCAGCCGAACGAACAGAAACAAAGAGACACAACTACTGCCACCACGGATAATACTCATATTCAACAATTTGAGAAGAGTCCATGATGAAGCAAAGTGATTCACTCATTCAAATGAAGACACTTAAAACCGCACTAATCAATATGTTTGTACAATAGACCCAAATGACTAATGTGAATGGGGTCGCTGTCAGTGTAAAACACACAGGATTATCACTCAACACTGCAATTGATCTCTATGGAGCCTTTTCGTCTATGGCTTATTCCTTTGGTTTTCTGGCCCATAACTCTCATAACTCCACTCTTCCGTCAACCTCGAGTCCAGCAGCTGCTTTTAGCAATAACCACTGTCACCACCACGATGGGCAGACAGACACATTTAGCGACTAGCTGGTGAACGATGTGAAGCATTTCGGGTAAAGAGAGTATTTTTCTTAGGAGTTGGTGTGGAACAAAAACCGTGCTAAAAGGAATATTGCATTCGTAAGGTGGCCAGATACATGGCTGCTGATGAACGTTGATATTGCTCTGTGTTATGATAACGGTTTGTTCTTATGTTGACAAAGTAAAAATGATTGCAGCTTTAAGGAAACATTTTAATTAAAATGTCATCAAGCATCCCACGGGTGACTTATGTATCGTTTGACCAGATGTTTTCAGCTGTCTTGATTTTTGGTACAGAAAATGTAAGAACACAGAAAAGATGCCTGTTACAATTTCCCCGAAAAAAAGACTTGCTTTGCTTGAACAACAGTACAACTGTTTGCTTGATAATTTAGACAATAATTCCTTGATTATTTTTCCGTCATTGCACTAATACTCTACTCTTTGCTTTGCGATAGCAGTAGTAGTAATGCAGGAACGCACACAATGCATGGTGCAGTTGCACACAAACAGACCTTTAGGGTTACCTGGAGACCACCATAGCTCAAAGTCAGACAGATATTGACTAACTGACTGTTCGCTCCTTCTTTCCACCCCTTCCTCTCTGGCCTCCAGTTTGCCATGGCGACGGTGGTGATGGAGCAGATCGGTCGCCTGTTCATCAACGCGCAGCAGCTGCGTCAGATCCCTCAGCTGCTGGAGTCGGCCTTCCCCACGCTACCTTGCACTGTGAAGGTGTCCGATGTTCCCTGGGTGTTCCGCGAGCGACACATCCTCACCGGCTACAGACAGCCGGACCAAAGCTGGCGCTACTACTTCCTCACCCTCTTCCAGAGGCACAATGAGACCCTCAATGTGTGGACCCACCTGCTGGCCGCCTTCATCATCCTGGTGAAGTGGCAGGAGCTCTCGGTGACGGTGGATTTTTTGCGAGACCCTCATGCTCAGCCCCTCTTCATCGTCCTCCTGTCGGCCTTCACCTACCTCTCCTTCAGCGCTCTCGCTCATCTCCTCTCTGCCAAGTCCGAGCTCTCCTACTACAGCTTCTACTTCCTCGACTATGTGGGGGTCGCGGTCTACCAGTATGGCAGTGCCTTGGCGCACTACTACTACGCCATAGAGAAGGAGTGGCACACTCGAGTGCAAGGGCTCTTTTTACCCGCTGCAGCATTCTTGGCCTGGCTTACTTGCTTCGGCTGCTGCTACGGCAAATACGCGAGCCCTCAGTTGCCAAAGTTCGCCCTCAAGCTCTGCCAAGTGGTGCCCTCTGCCTTGGCTTACTGCTTAGACATAAGCCCTGTGGTTCACCGCATCTACAGCTGCTACCAGGAGGGCTGCACCGACTCAGTCGTGGCGTACCATTTCTACCACGTAGTCTTTTTCCTAATCAGCGCCTATTTCTTCTGCTGCCCACACCCGGAGAGTTTGTTCCCCGGGAAGTGTGACTTCATCGGGCAGGGCCACCAGATCTTTCACATATTCGTGGTGGTGTGCACCCTGATGCAGATCGAAGCGCTGAAAACAGACTTCACAGAGCGCCGCCCCTTCTACGAGCGCCTTCACGGCGATCTCGCGCACGATGCCGTGGCGCTCTTCATCTTCACTGCCTGCTGCAGTGCTCTTACCGCTTTTTATGTGCGCAATCGTGTCCGTGCCTCGCTGCACGAGAAGGAGGAGTAAGAGTTTAAAAAGAGTAAAAAAAAAAAAAAAGAAAAAGTCTAATTTATTTTACTGACCATTCATTAAAAATAAACTCAAATGTTTTTGTCAATGAAGGTTATCAGTTTAAGCGAGTGACTTTTCATTATTTCTTCTCTATGTGATCTGCCAAACTACAGTGAGCTAAAAAACAAAAATGTAAAAGTGATTAATGGTGTGTTTTTTGTGACTTATAATGATGAAAAGAGAATCTTATGTTTTGTCTGTAGCGATACAGGTAGTACTTTAACACTGCAAAGAGTCCCTGCATTTTAGAAGTCTGTTTCTAGTCATTGTCTAAGAGAATGCGGTTTTACTTCACCGTACAAGAACACTTTCTGTCGAGGTGAGCAGAACAAGGAACAGACGAGTTTCCTAAAATGCCTTTTACCTAATCGTATCTACAACAATCTGACTGTCTTAATCAAATTGTAGCATTTCAAATCATGACGCAAGCATTTATTTTTTACAATTTACAAGTCCAATAACACTTTGTATATTTCAGCCAGATGCCAATTCAGATCCAATTTAAACTGCTGGTCTTGAGACACATTTGATTCTGCCCCTCTCTTTAAGGATCAAAACAGAGATTTTCTTTCTTCCTTTTTTTACTATCAAGGCGCTAACACTAATGTTTGAACATATTCTGGGAAAGTTGAGAACCCAATTTTAAAACCAAATATTGTACCTCTCATTAAACAACAAAAAAAAGGAGATTTTCTTTCTTTGGGTGATGACATTCTGTTGAACTATTTTGCAAATGAGGCTGGCACTCAGTAATGGTTAAGAGATAGATGGAAGATTACTGATGTCGCTTAGTTTTGACGGTGTTGATCTTTTTATTTTATTTTTTATTCAAAGGGCTGGAACTTCAGCTTTTGCCTTTTCACATCCCATGATGTCAAAGCTTTTCAGCTCATTGTTTTAATCGTCGGTTGATCAGATTTGACACGCAAAAAGCCACCTGGCAGGTGTTCTGCTTTTGGTATGTTTTTGTTTTGTATGATGAATATGTATGTGCCTCTATGCATGTCTTTTGGTATGTACTGTGGATATTAAGTGGGTGAATGTCTATGAAAGCTTAGCCTTGCACTTCTTTCTTACCCTGTAAATAAGCTGTATTTCTCTAGAACGTCGCTTGCATCCCATTTTCTCTCCGCCTAATAGCACTCCCAACTGAATGCGTATTCTCTCTCGTGGAATACGGCACATTCCGGTTTTGATACGTTGTGTTCAGTGTCCAGCTGCCTGTCAGACTTTAAATGACTATGAATACATCATTTCATACTGCCGCACTGTTAATCGACGAGTCCTGATGGGTTATTTTTTTCCTCTTAGTTTGATGACTTTTGTTATGAAAATATCACACAGATATGGCTCACTGATAATGTTGCTTAGGTTTTTACCTCACAGAAATCTTTAAATGTCAGAAATGAACTATATTCATTACAGCGCTCTCTGTTTAATGTGCCAATGAATCTGTTATTGCTTCAGTGATGGCACTACTGAGAGATGGATCCAGAGACGGACTGTCAGGAGTTGGTTTTAAATGATGTCTTGACCTGACTGCGAACATGTTACCGCTGCCACTCCCCTAAATATGAAACTTTTAAACTTTGGCATTACTGACCTTGTCTCATCATGCACTGCCTGAAATCAACACTGTATATACTGTAGCTGACAACACTGGCTATGTTTACATGCATGGAGGTATCTGCTGTCAATGTGGTTATTCTGGTTTTGTGTTGACTCTTAGAAATGTCATTCCGAATAACCCGGAGAAACCTGCGTGTAGACGCCTCCCTTGTTGGGATCGGTTAAAAAAAACTAAATTGAGGCTCTTGTGCACAAGGCTGATTTTGTTCATGTAGTCAAATGCTTCACTGGGAGGCTTCATCGCAGGCTAATGATATCCGATTGGCAAATGAAGCCTGCAAGTCTCTCACTAGCCTTGCTAGTCATGCCTGTGACATGAGTTTATTGTCCTGACCATCAAAAGAGCCAAAAATATGACTACTGGGGTTATCATCTCTTACCCACGTGTTGACGATGACCTGGACTGTTCAGTCAGGAAAGGGGGCAGTGGGAAAGTGAGAAGTATTGTTTGCTAAATGAAGTGTTTGTCGCAACATGATACTCTGCCACAGATTATCTAGGTTGCATGCCAATTATACCTGACGAAGATGGTAACTGGAATATGGCCAGCACTCTTTACTGTATAAGTGAATTTGTTTGTAAACGTAGCCTCTGATGCCACCCAAGGTTTCCCTTTATGAAAGCAGGGTGAGAGGGACCAGAATGTCTTCTGCCTGTGTGACTGTACTAATATTCTGTTGTATTTAAGAAAATAAAGTGTTACAGTAACTTCAAATACTCTTTTTTTTTTTTTTTTATTCTTCAGAGGTTGGGGATTAAATGGAAGCAGAGAAAGCCCATAATAACTTGACTCGCAACTGAAAACCTTTATTGTGAAGTTTAACCGCTGCTGGATGTTGAAGTTCAATAGTCATTGAATTCATACAGCATTGAACTATTTTACTCTGAAAGGAATACGTATGAATTTATGTAGTTTGCATTCCCCACATTGAAATGACCTCTGCTCTGTGAGATTATGTTCATGTCAGTCATATCAACCGTGAAACTGAAAAAAAGCCAAACTAGATTCAGATAGATGGTTTACAAAACAAAATAACAAATGTAATAAATTCAATGGTATTCAGAAATGCAAGGATATGTATTCCGGTGGAGGTTTCACAAGTATGTTTTCAGTGTCGTATATAAAATTCAAATTATTACGGCTTTTCTTTGGCTCCATATATCACGACAGATTAATGCCAATATATTTCAACATTTTAAATTCATTTAAAATGTTGGTGAGGCTGAAGGTTTATGAAGACTCATTTTAAGTGCACGCCATTGTAAATCTTGCATTGTTTTATTTTCCAACACATAAAGAAGGTATGCCAAGATACAAGATTTCATGGTTTATGTTATCTATTTGGCCTCTCGTTTCACGCTGCAGACAATAAAACAGGTCTGAATGCAGATCTTCTTAACCCATACCCTCACCAGTAATGTTATATGGTCCACAAAATATACGACGGGCAGTTCATTTTATTCTGAGACACAACTACTGGGTGAGTAATAGCCCCGGACTACAGGTAATGAGTTGGTAAATGTAAATAATAGGCTGGAAAGACTCTAAAATCTAGCTGTTTCTCAGACCTGTCTGTTTTACTACGAGTCATTCTTCGAGCACCACCAGAGGGCAGCCTTGTTGTTCGGTAGGACAGTTGCAGTTTGACAGCGAAGGAAGAACTTCAGCGTATTAAGAGCATCGACTCATCTCAGGTAAAACTGACGCTGAAGAGGTATTTTGAAGTAAAAAGTATTCGATGAATGCAAAAGATGCAAAACGTCTTTCTTTTGCCAGAGGAACTAATCCGTTAATCACAAGAGTCTTCAATGACGTAGGAGCAGTTAGTCACAGAGTCATTATGGAGGTTTTCGTTAAAGGCATCCTCGTATTGTTGATTATGGAGCGTACAAAAAAACAGTTAAACCTGTGAATCTGTTCGTAAGGAAAATGGCTTTAGGTGTTTATTAAATTCAAGAGTAGCCTATTCAGTAATTAGCATTGTTCAGTTATTGAATAACAATGGATAAACAAATGCTAATATTTAAATTAGAGGACACATTGAAAGCCAGTGTTGGCCTGTTTACTGCTGCATGTTGATTAATGTACTATTATGTTGATCCCACTAGTGGCAAAAATGCAAAGCAGATGGCTTCTCTCCTCTGTACAGTATACATGAGTGAAATATAGATAAGCACACAATTATCTTCTTGGTGAAAAGCTTTAAATTGTATTCAGGATAACTCTCACACGATTTATTTCATCCCACAAAAAAACCATGAGGGGGCACAAACGATCTGCATATCTTCCCAAATACAGTATATATTACCGATGTATCACAGCTCTTTAAAATGAACTTGCAGGTCGATCAAGGCGGTTCATAAATGCATGTTATTGATAGCGATGCCCTGCTGTAACGTCTTCATTACAATCTGCAGCCTCGATTACAAAACAACATACTGTATGTCATTGATTTTGTTGAATTAAACCGTCAGTTAAAATGAACACAAGTTAATTATTGTTGTAAATATTTGCCTAATAGACTAAGAATAATATTACATGATTAAATCTAATTTTATTCATGCAGATGTTTCCCTCGCAACAACATTCGGAGCGGTGTCTCGCTCAAGCTGCAGCCTTGTGGGTGGCACATATTGTTTATGCATGCATGCCCTGTATGTGTTGATGGGGTGGCTCGGGTGTTGATGCTTTTTGTTTACACGTGTCTATTTCTTTTTTTTCCTACATTAGTCGAACTATGGACGTTTGTGTGGGTTTACATAGCATCGCGCCGTTTTGTTGATATCCGCCAGGAGCTTTGCATCTGATAATTATGTTGGTACTGCATTCACATAGGGTAACTTTCTCATCATGCCTCGCCTTCTGCCTCTCTCCTACCTACAAACACATGCATAACATATCCACCCGGAGTGAGTGGAAATGGATATGCTGCACTAATTTGAATATCTCTGAAGAACATTTTTCAGTGATGGAGAAGTATTGAAATTTAAGGCAGAAATGGGCTCCTAGTGCACCTATCCTGGATGTGATTAATTCACAGTATTACACACTCAAGACGGTCTTAAATCAAATGGCAGAGATAGTGCTAATTGCCTTACAGCCTGCTTCCTGTCCTCTATCAATTGCTTCTCCAGACTCCCATCAATTTTCATACGCCTGTTTCTTGAGCAGCTTCCCTTTGAGCATCACTCCTCTCCCTCTCTGTGTGGTTCCCTCACTCGGCGAGTTGCTCTGCAAAGCTATTGCTCCTCTCTCCACTCCTTTTTAAACGCTTCATTTGCTTTGTATGATTTGTATCAAGGTTCCCGACGTAATATTGGAGGGGGGCCTTGGTCTCCTATCGTGTTTTGTAATTAAAGGTTTGACTTGCTATAATGGAACGGCTTTGTTCAGGGTTATTAAAACGCCTCCTCTTTTTGCCAGGTGACAGACAGCCAACTTCTTTTTCCATCTGTCCTTTTTCTTTTTTTTGATGAACCTCTTCTGTGCTGCCTGGTATTTTTGTCCCCACATCTTTTGTTATTGTGGCATGTTCATGTGGTCTCTCGCTTTTGTTATTACTTGGAGAAAAGCTTTGGGAAAGTCACTGTGTTATGAGGGATGTAATGATATGAGGAACTGAACAAACCTTTGTCAGACTGTAAATTAGAAATGAATCAAAATGGAAAATGTAATACCTGTCCTCCAGTCCCTGTAACTCATAACTGATAATGGTACAGAGTTGGTGCATGTCAAAGTAGATAAAGAGCAGGGCTAGAAATGTTTCTCCCACTAAAACCTCATTGTATTCTTGATACAGTAGATGTAATTCACATTACAGTACAAACAAATGTCTATTTGAAATATGAAAAGTGTAGTGAAACGATTTTGAAAAGTTAATTTGGCTTTTTAAGTCTAAAATAACCTGAACAAAAGCCAGATAACCTTTAGTGCTGTATAAACATATACAATTGATTAACCGAACATTACGCAGGGTTTTGAACAAACATGTTCTTGCTCTTGTATAGACTTTTGGGAGCTTTGTGAAATTTGCTTTCTTGCCAAGCATTTAATGAGAGGATAGATACCACTCTCATATATGTTTAATATAAAGCTGACGCCAAGAGATTGTTAGCTTAGCATATCTTAGCATAAAGACTGGAGGTAAACAGTTTGCCTGCTTCCTTCCAAGTTAACAAAATCCACCTACCAGCATCTCTAAAACTCACAAATAAACACATTATATACTGTTTGTAATTCACAGCAAAACTGAGGTATAAAAATAACAAGCTACAGGTTTTATGGGGGATAGGAAGTCACTGCTCGCAGCCAAGAGTTACTGAGACACATAACCTGCAGCTTGTCATTTTTACACTCCAGTTTTTATATGAATTAAACAAACTATGTGAATTCACGAGGATTAAACAGACAAGATATAACATAAGGTAAGACAGATACAGGCTTTCCCCCCAACCGGCTTCACATTTAACAGACTTTGAGAGTGGTGTCAATCTTCTCAGCAGGAACGTGAATAATGAGAATTTCTCAAAAAGTCAAACTATTCCTTTTAATCTACAGAAGAACAAAAACAGATTTTTCACAACCCGCATGGCTCCAGCTTCACAACCTTTCTTTACAATCTGACCTGTCTGAGTAAAGAAACCTGGCCCTCTGTAGTTTTTGCATGTCTATACTTTCCATGTTATATTCTTTGTCACTCGACTGCTCTCCTTTGTATTGCTCTCTGCATTGTGTTGATTGCCACTGTTTTCCAGAGTCACATTTAGCAACTAAAATGGGTACTTTACTCGTGCAGTGTTCGGTGTATTCCGGCACACAGCGGTGTTTCTCATCAGTCGTCTTACTGTTTATTGTTAAGCAGAGGAAGACACTGCCGTGGACGGATAAAGGCTAAAAGACACCAAACCATGAAGTATAAATAACGGGGTAAATGAAGCAGACTGTCGAGGAATGTAAATTGTGAGGCTCCAGCCAATCAATGGTTGTTTTAGAAAGAATATGATCCCCCTCAGGTTACACAGTGTGACTGGATTTGTAAAAAGCATTAGTGAGGCAACGGCTCCTCGATAGTCTAATGTTAATGCTACTCGTAAAGTATCATGAGGGAATCAGCGTCTTTACAATTGCACTAAAATTGCATTGTCCTTGTTGGCAATGATTTATATTGGAGCACTCGTACTACAGCACTGTCAGAATTTACTACAGACGTAATAGATTCAGTCTGTTCCAAAAGAGACGATTCCTAGCTCCTCTTCATCTTTGCTGTAGCCTTGACGCTACTTGCTTCACCAATCAGCTCGCCCATTGATCGGGCCTATTCATCATGAGGTGGTTGCCGAGATACTGGAGGCTGGCGGAGGTGAGGAGGAGGCACGTATGCCCTATCTGAAGGTCTCTCTCTCTCTTGCCAAAGCCTGTAGCCCGCTCAAGGATAATGAATTCCCTCCTTCTGCCCCTTAACCTCTCTGTATACAGCAGGGTTACAGACACACATTATTAGAAAGGGGGAAACTTTAAGAGGCCTGGACATTGTGTTGTCTAGTCCAGAAGGTAGACTTGCTGTGGTTTGAATAACCTTTTGCTCACTTTAAGTACTCCATTCTTCTGTAGCGCTACTCCTTTACTCTAACCTAAACCTTTCTTTGTAATCTGCCACACTGTGTTAACATAAAGTAAAGTATTGGCTACTCGCTTGATTTTTGAGAGTCAATGTA